AACCCAAGGAGGTATCAATGCTGCTCTCCGGGAATATGACAGCGGACGACCGGTAATGGCATAGTATGATACAGTTAAAGGTTCAGATTGGTTAGGGGACCCAAGACGCAATGGCATATTCGCTAGCTGGTTAATCCTTTACTGTAATATGCTTCTGCTCACATCTCCAATTTAGCAATATATCCGTAAGGAAGCACCTCAGGTCGTTGTTGAGTTGGAGAGATACGGAATGCCCTTTTCGCGCACCGCAGAGGACAAGCTTTATCAGGCGAGGTTATACCTACAACAATGAAAGCTTCAATCCATATGGGGTTCAAAAAATCTAACCAAAAATAGAAGTTTGCAGCGACCTATTCGAAAGCAGTTCTTGAAATATAGCAAGGGTGGACAGGCCATGCAATGCTTCATACTTTATGTGGACAGGCCTTGAAGGTTGGATGGCGCCAAATCCAATATGTGATACAATCCGCAGCTAATGCTTAAATAGCATATTTGCAACTTTTTCATTGAGTTTTTCGCCTTGGATTTTATGGTGTTGGACAGAGACGGTACGTGTAAAAGTGGGCTATCGCGATGTTATTTTCGCAACGCTGGATGAGAACGAGTGTCCCAGCGTAGCGCCGACAAATAGGACGTATTAATTGAGAACTGGGAAATACAATATCATAGTTATCTAGGATACAAAAGATAGATGAAGTTGCTACATTAATCTATGGAGTCATGGATGGGATATGTCTTGGTTTGACAGCGCCAAGCCTAAACCCGAAATAACCAGTCATGTGACCCCTGCAGAACTCAAGCTTGAACAAACAAACTGAGAAAAACAAGCAACGAAATGAATGCATACTGGAGACCTTCAACTGAGATTGTATTCGTCCAGGGCCATGCCGCGGTGACACAGCCGCCAAACTTCATGAGCCATTTCCTTTGTTCATTTTGGGGTAGGGCCGTGCTCATACACAATGGCTTCTGACGCTGCTTCCATCGGCGCTGGGGAAAGCCAGCTGCTTGACTGCGTGGAAAATGCGCCACAACCGGAAACAGAATCTCCCAAGACTCCGAGAGATGAGTCGAGGCAGGGGAGTAAAAATACAGAACCGAAAGATGTTCCAGGTGACAGGGACAACGAGGATGATAAGGAATCAGGCGAGGAGCTGGAGGGGGGTGAGGAAGAGGCAGAAGCAGGAGAGGAAGAGCCTGACAGCTCAGCTCCACCCCTACCGCACGAAGACCCCCCACCTCCTCTCCCTAACGAAGAACCCCCTGGCCAAATTGAAGATGATGGGTGGGATCCTGTTTGGGATGCCAATGCACAAGCTTATTACTTTTATAACCGGTTCACTGGTCTGGCACAGTGGGAAAACCCCCGGGTACCTGACACCCACGAACAACCACAACAGGAGCAGAAGACAGACGCGCCACAATTCTCAGAACAGCAACAGCCTAGTAAGGCACGAGTTACTGGCGGCTATGATCCCGCAATCCACGGTGATTATGACCCCACTGCACCTTACGCTCAGGCGACCGAACAAGAAACAGGGGTAGCCGCTGCAGCGGCCGCTTCCTCCTCCGATCCGAACTACATCTACACAGCCACAGGCACGTTCAACCGGTTCACGGGCAAATGGCAACCGGGCTCTCTGACTCCAGAGACTTTCAACGACGAGAATAAAAGTAGAAGACAGATGAATGCATATTTCGATGTGGATGCGGCGGCCAACAGCCATGATGGCAAGAGTCTCAAAGCCGAGCGGAGTGGGAAGAAACTAACCAAAAAGGAGCTGAAGGCGTTCAAGGAGAAGAGAGAGAGAGGAAGGAAGAAAACGGAGAGCTTGGTTGAGAGATTGATTTTGTGGTTTACATTTGTCTTTGTTATGCTGCCTTTTTCGCGAGATTGGGCTGTCGTGCCGCTAGCTTTATCTACCCTCATGACTCAATTGACCCCAGCGATTCTATCGGTGTAATAAGCTGTGTCTCAATTGCACCCAGGATGCAAAACTTGGATTCTTGCGCATATTCCATGGAGTTATATATGTTTTCTTCCTTGTCTTTGTTTATAAGACGAAGCTTGGATCGGTTTTTTTTTTTTTTTTGGTGGACATGCTCTCCGGTTCTGGCTCCCTCCGCTGCTTTCCTCAGGCATGTATTTATTGGTTTCTGTTGCTGTACCGATAGTTATTATCTCAGTATTGTATCTCGTAGACGACCTATTTCCTAAGCCTGTGCTAATTTTCATATCCTCAAATCCATTCCACAACTGCCGAGTTTCCCCCAGTCCTTCTATTAGTGTTCGCGGCTCGTTGAATTGTGCTGAATCGCTGCCAGGAGCAATTTTATATCACGTGGCTCGGTATGATAATTTTTGTCCTGGTATAGAGGTAGTTTCATGATATGCGCAACAGCATCAAACGACAGGAAATTGGGATTCTCGTATGAAAGGACATATATACATATATATATTAGCCCGGTGAGTATTTTCATTTCCTTTGATTTGGATGTTGTCTCTTTCCGCTACTATTGTAGTTTTTATTTTTGTAACTTTCTGGTTACCGTATATATATTTTTTATATCTTATATGATTATTGCTAGCCCTGGAGAGCCTAGGGTCGTGGAACGAAAAATATTTCATTCTATTACTTTTGGCTCATCATGTAATATGTTCGTTCCTTATCTATGACGGCACTTGTGCTGTGAATATTTTATTCTATGCGTGTGCCAAAGCTGCGAGGGTGATGTCTTGAAGTTTGCTCTATACTTCTGTTCCAATCGTTCAAGCATGTGTGACGTTCAGGAAGTTTGTTTCCCGTGATTTGATCATGTGGGGAGAAGATAGCTCTCTCCAATTTCTTCCCGGTTCTGAAACGAAATCGGAACAATGAATCATTATCGTTATAGTTACTTGCAAATGTTTTCAGCCAACTGGATGACTTTTCCAGATACCCTTCTGAGACGAACTGCAGACAGGATATGGCACAAGAACAATTCTTCGTACTAGTATCTAACATTTCCTAGGTCAACTGCACACGAGAGCGAAGTATACTCCAGTTTTTAATTTGTCTCTTCCGTGGAATCCCCAGATATCCTACAGGGGGACATTTTTTCAAACAAAATTTTCGAAAATCATTTAAGCCATGGAAACAAGAACTGGCCAAACGATAGGCATCACATCGCCCCTGCCGCTCACATTCGAAGAAATTGATGATCTCATCTACTCCGCACGTCTGGGAGATGTAGACGCGCTGCGGACAGATATCACGAGCCTCAGCCAGAAATACAGCTGTTCCGCTTCTGATATCATACAATCCGCTATCGACATGGAGGATGAGAGTCAGGGGGGAACAGGGGCGTGCTTGTTGCATTGGCCTGCTGCGAACGGGAATGTTGGTATGTGATCGTATATGTGGAAAAAAAAAAAAAAAAAAAAAAAAAAAAAAAAAAAAAGCCCCCCTACTTTATTCTATATCTTAGTCCCTAAGGACTATTATTGACAAAATCACTGAATCCCAGAAACGCTCAATTACCTCCTCAGCCTCCTCTCGACGACACCAACACAAGCCCAATCACAAACAACAGCTACTGCCCAAACATCCCAAGACTCAACAACAACGGCAATACCAATAAGCCCGATTATAAACCATCGGAACAACTCCGGTAACACTCCGTTGCATTGGGCGGCGTTAAACACGCACTTAGAGTGCGTTAAGGCGCTCGTCCATGCCGGCGCAGGCATTGCCATCAAGAACGATGCGGGCCATGATGCCGTCTTCCTCGCTGAGAGGTCAGGGTGGACCGCGTTGCCTGAAGATGATGAAAAAAGGGAAGATGGAGAGACAGAAGCGACTACGAACGGTGTGGAGGGAGAGGGAGAGGGAAGGAGGCCGGTTTCGAAGGGCATGCAGGTTGTTGGTTGGCTGTTGGAATGTGAGGAAGGCGAGGGATTGGAGAGAGGGGCGGGGATCCGGGGGAGCGAAGATGGTGATGGAGATGCGGGGAGAATGGATGGGTTAGAAGGGGGAAATTGATTGTTAGGGGATAAGTTGTTTTGTTCCTGCTTAATGACTAGTCAGACTAGTGAATGAGGCAAACCATGGTGAGGCGAAGGACTAATTCCCCGCTTGAATATAGAGGCTCAATTTTTGCAAGTTTTCTAGTTTTGCCCAAAGCGAAGTAACTTTGGAAGAAACAAGGCTAAAGTGCAGAAGGATATGTGCACCGACGTTGGAGGAAAGGGGGTCTGGTAATGCCATTACATATGCATATCACTTAATCGCTCCTAGGATAACATTTGAGGTATCAATTTGCAAGTATAAACAAATGGGGTATGGGGAATGACCCAAAAAGTAAAAGACGATGAGAGGCAGTTGAAAATGGGGAATAATGCGAAAGATATCCAAACGTTGTATCGTGGTATTTTTTATGACAACAAATAAGGAAACACAAAAGAGGAAAACAATATTAATAATTATAGAAGCGAGGGGACTTGGGTGGGTAATATGGGGAGGGAAAAGTTCCTGTAATCAATTCCTAAGTTCCACCCCACGAGTTTTAGGACTTCGCTGGCGTACATCCTTCCCCGCCTTCCCATAATCGTTTAGAGCGTCATAGCCGGTCCTTTCTCCGTCTCTGATCTGACTAGGACTTCGAAGTTGCACCGTTTCGTTTCCGTTGTGTGATATTTCCCCCGGAATCTTCGTCGCAATCAAATCCATCCCTACGCGGAATGTGTGATCTCTCCAAACAACCGTTGACCCACCATAGAAAGCACAAAGCCAGATCGGCAACGCCAATGCCTCCCTACCCACCCACGCAAGGAACCACTCATGGAACGGCCGTCGGGGGCCAAAACCCTTGCCACGGGAGAATCTTGGATGAGGAAGCGCGAAGGAAGGCGTGTGTTCGTCTATTTCGAGAGCAGCGGCAGAATGCAGTGTTACATAGAGAAGCCAGTCAATGACGACCCATAAGGCGATGCTGAAGGACCAGAATGAAAAGAACGCAATCCAGGAGTTTAGATAAGTGGTGTATTGGGGGAAATAATGAGGAAGGAGGTTGCTAAGTGCGAAGGCGAGGTAGGTTGAGCAGAGGAATGATTCCGTACCCGGCTCTGCAAGTGTGGCAAGCAACACGGTGTACTTGCGCACACGGAGCCAGCGGATGCGCCGGCGGAGGTAGGATTTGACGCTCATACGAGCTACTGGTTGGATGGCAACATCACCGTATACCAGCTTGTGTCTACCCCATCGCTCCCCTACTCTGACCGGGGGATTCCCTTTGAAGAGGCAGTCCCCGATGAGATGGTCTTCGCAGATGTTATCTGAGAAGTAGTCAATTCCGGGCCTTCGGGGTTGCGCTTGGGGTTTTGAGACGGCAGGTGAAGTAAGGTAGTCCAGATGTGAGCGGCGGAACATAGTTGATTTGCCAACGGCACACGGGGCGATGACGATGGTGTTGATTGCAGAGTAGAATTTTGGGTGGGAAGATGAGAGGAAGAGTTCCTCTAGACGACCTCCTGCTATGTCTAGGATAGACGGCGACTGCCCTCTATTTTTTGCCCCTGTAGATGCTATCAGGGGGTTAATGAAGTTGTAGTAGTTTTGATATGGAAAGTCCTGTCTCTCGTCCGGTCTCTCGTCCGCATGCCCCATTCGCGGTTTTTCATTTCCCAAATCGACCGCGATAGGCATCTGGTGGACGAACCTGTACTGCTTGTCGACGGTGCCATCGTCCGCGACTATTCCGCACAGTTTATCCACCATTCTGCCACAAACACCTCTCCCCATCCACACGTTGCAATCTGCAATCCACACGATATCACCCTTGGCTTCGTTATACGCACGACTCATGTTCCTAATTTTCGGGTTGGGCCCAAGGTTGTCACTCTCCCCGCTTTCCTCCTCAACAAATATCCGAGCGTCTGCGTCCGGGAAATCCTCTAATAGTTTCTTCAACACGGCATACGCCGGGTCGGTTTTTGTTGCAATGCAGAGATATATCGTAAGCTTATCCTTAGGATAGTTCTGACGGAAGCTGGCAGCCAGGCACTCGTAGAGATGGGGCTCGAGATCTTTGACGGGCCGAATGATGGTGACATGGCGAACTTGGAAAGGTTGAAGTGAGGCGGAGAATGATTTCTTCGGGGCGGTGGAGTAATTTATTTGTCTAGATACAATGAAGGGAAAAGACCCGAGCGTTAATATGTAATTTTTTTTTTTTTTTTTTTTTTTTTTTCCACATCTAGCACCAAATTCAAAAACAAGAAGATCTCACAGTCGAGTCCATCCCACTAGGATCACAAAGGTCACAATCAGGTACCAGATGACAGCGGCCCAACTGGCCGCAATCAGCCAGGGCGGATATTGTTCCTGCTGCAACGGCAGCCCATTCCTGAGACCAACAGGAGAATTGGAATTAGAGAAATCCGCCGCCGCTCGTTCTGCCCGCATGAGGCTGCTGACTACAGAAGCCTTTGACTCGGACGGGCTATTTGTATTACGGTAGGGGACGGCAGAAGGAAGTTGGATGAACTGTGCGGAGAGGTGGGCTGGGACGCAGTCAACGACGGGCTCATACTTAGACGGAGCGGGGCAGAGCAGCGTGGTGTCAAGAGAGGGCTCGGAGTCAAGGAGGATAGTTGATACCCCCAGCAAAGGGGAAGGAAAATGAATGAGGAACGAGACCTGTTTTTCTTTTCTTTTCTTTTCTTTTTTGACGACGGTGACGGTGGAGTTGGTTGCATGCTACGCGGCGTATATTTTGTTGGTCCTAGGTTGCCTATCACGGACTAGCGCATGGATGCTAATGCAACCAACTTAAAGGCTGATTAGTAAACGCTGATGGTCCTCGGTGCTGCCGGAAAGCGAACAACTCCCAGCCGGTGGAGAATCAGCTTTGGGGTCTCGACAACTTTGCTGGAAAATGCTGTCCGCTGTTGGGGAGCTGATCCTGGTTGCCTGGAGAATCATTCTCTCCTTTACGCAGAACAGCGGTGACTCTGGGCGGTTGGAGCGGTGAACGCCTTTTATTTTGCTCCTGGCATAAACGAATTGATCTACTTGCCATGGACACAAAACGCGGATAGAAACCTTGGAAACACGGACATCCTAGCTTCGCTCCGTCTAGGACTGGGGTGATAGCGATTGAAGAGAGTATAGGCCGTCCTCAACGCGATTGAAGCCTATGATGAAAGCAAGCGAAGACTCTTGAATCAAGCACGGATCCTGGATCGAAGCACGTACGGTTTGCGAAGAATAAGAAAAAAAAATTAAGCATTGAAGAAGTAGTAGCTCGAGGATACTAGTAAATATTATTTTTCAATGAAAATTCCACCAATATATGGATTAACATGGCCTTGGTTCCTACGACTTCTACTTCCTGAAAGCCATGCAGTTGGGGCAATCTCATTGTGAAGCGAGGAACACCCAAGGATCGCCTTATAATTTTACAATAATAACGATGCGTATGGAGCCGGACATACCGCACGCAAAGTTGAATAGCGACATCCCCCTCTGGACCGAGTATTGTAAACGCAAAAGGACCCTTGAGGATGAGGATATTTCAGATTTAGCTAATAGCAGAAGCGTAAAGAAATACACAATCTGTTGGCATCCATATTGCTCACTATAATTCCACGTGACCACACCTATTTAAGCGCTGCTCCCGCTAGATACTTCGTAGCACAATGAACCAACCATCCGCCTCCATCACAATCATACCACTATTGGAATTTAACACTCTTGCGTCGGCCTATCACTCGCATGGCCTCATTATTTCCGCCTTCAGGTCTCAAACACTTCCGATGAAACATCTGCGCCTAACGTTGCGGTCATTCCTATTGCGCGCCGTGCTCACAGCAAGATGACACTCTTGGAAAAATAGGAAAAACAGGAAAAACAGCTGTCGCACGCATCTCGAAACCCAGACAAAGTCTACTGGAATCCTCCTTGACGGCTCTGACTTGGGAGAAGTTCTTAATGACACAGAGAGTCCATTTGCGTCAACATAGAATATTTGGAGAAAGGATCTCCATCCGATGCATACATGGCTATGCATGAATTTGGCCCCTGGGATTCAAATGAGTTGAAAGTTATGAAAAGTATTTCTGTGATGTTGGTTGCCTTTGTGCCACGGGCCATCTCCGATCGTGAAGCTGAGGAACAAGCTGCAGGGTGTTAAGAGCGGGTGTTTCTTGTCTTCAAAAGATTTTAACTCCTGTGGAAAGGATATAAAAATGCAGCAGTTTTCCATTTAAAAAAATACGTACATGTACTTCCATGTACTTTATTTTGCATCAAATCTCTTCAATTGTTAGGCTGGAGTTCCGGAAGTGGGCCCTCTTGCACTTTTCCCCCCTTTACCTACTGAGCTGGGTTGGTTGTCTTCATGAGATTGCCAATGTTCCCCTTCTGATTGTCAGCTGCCACGCAGTTGGAATTGCTCTCATACCGAAAGAACTCACAGTTGTGGTTGTTGTTGTCATGAGCCTCGCCATCAGAGCGGATATTATGGAAATAAAATTCTCTGCAAGTCTCTCACGACAGCCAAACTCTCAGTGCTGTTTCTTTCATTTGCGTGGACAAAACTGCCACTTTTACAAAGTTAACATCGTCGAGCTGTATTAATTTTATCCCCCCGACATTTGCTAATATATTGGATTTTCTAGAACGAGATGTTTGTGACCGGTTGCTTCACTGGCTGGAGGAATACACCGAGGAAGCTTCGCGGATATCTCTCATGAGGGAGAGCACATCGACGGCTCATTGGGAAACTTAATACATCGGCCACATGGAATTAGGAGGTTTGTGCAATGCGGCAGAGTTTGATACTTCAACGCTTTGCTGCCCGCGTAGCAAGATCGAAATGGATGGTGATTCGAAAATCTCAGTCATAAGTTACAAGATATAAAAATACCCCTTTGAGATCGCCTTGAGCAGCCAGGACGAGTTCATGATCCGCATTACGCATGTTGCAGACATGTAAGTGCAGTTAGTTGTTTTTGTTGTTTTTATTTACTATCACAAGCTAACCTCGCCTAGACTATAATTTAAGCTCATGCCAGATGCCCTTATTCCCAGATGCAGCAGTGTAGTTCAAAAGGATGGCACTGTTATGCCCCTTTCGAGCGCAGATCCATCACAAATCGAATCAGTCAAGAACAATTGGCCACTCGTGGGACAACGCGTGATGATTGAACCAAATGCTGGGAAAGGCTGTGGTGATAGGGGTTAAGGAGATGATAGAGTTAAGGAGGACTCGACTTTGTGGGGCCTTGTTGGCCTGATATAACCAGTTGTTAGTGCTTGTTGGTTTATTTCCGCACAATCCTCACCGTTCAACAAATGTTCGGAATTTTCAGCGTCTAAGATATACATAACGTTATAAATTGACTGGAGACTTCAAGCTGATCGGGCAAGCAATCACCACCGATCGTGAAATTATCAAAACCACGCCATTCCGTATTCATGGAATCACCGATCTTGATTGTGACTTCATATTTTCCCCAGGGAAGTTGGAAAAATTTTCAGTCAATCGTTAGAAGTGTCCCTGAACCGATAACCCCCAATGATAATCAATGGGAAACAACTCTGGAAATATGAAGAAATCGTTTTCCCCCGCACACCACGGAAACAGAAGCTTCGAATTGTTAAGGGATTCCAAACACACGAGAATACTGCAGCTATGGCAAGAGATGAGGTCAATGATTTACCAGTCTTGAAGATAGCCGATGTGGGCGTTGCCCTTGGTACTGGCTCCGATATTGCCATCGAGGCAGCAGACACGATACGTTTCGATCCGTTTTCAGCAATTGCTAAGCAGATAAATATGGGCGCGTGGTCGTAGGTACGTTCGTTCAATTTATTTCCTGTTCAAGATCATGGCTAGTGGGCTTAAGTTACCTGAGATAGCTATGCTCTATCCCCCTTAGATTATCATCTGGCGAGGTCAGAGATGCCTGAGATATCTAGACCCTGGTCTAGGATACCGACATCTCTTTATAGATTGCGGTAGATGTTATCACTTCAGTGTTTGAACATTTGGAATTGGCGTTCTCCTTCGACAACCCCGTGCTCCAAAGGAAAAAGGATGTTTTGGTAAATATCAGACTCATCCCCTATATCTACAGATTTATTGGTGATGAATGTGCAGCTTGCTTTATCATGGAATTCTGTTCCATGGAGGCACATTATGCAACGCCCCTTGCCCCCTTGAACGGTTGTCATTGAAATCACTAAATTAACAATTCGTCATTTCCTTGTGTGTGTGTGTGTGTGTGTGTGTGTAGGCACACGGCATTCCATTCCGTGCCGTGTGAACTGAGGAATGGCAATTTGGATCGCAATAGGATACGGACTGGGCTGTCAATGTAACAAATAAAGCGCAATCGATGTATATACTTGTCAACTTCGTTGTCCGCACCAGATATCTAGGCATATTCTCGCGGCCACCGACTTTCAAAAAATACAGGTCCAAGATCCTATTACTCCTTATCGCTATGGTACAGGTTCTGTGCATAGTGTTCATACTTGTGTCTTCTTTATCCCGTCATTTTCCCTGTGTCGACGCTGATCGTTTCCTTTTAGCCATATGTACTGTACTTTTCCCTGCTTCTTTCTACCGTCAATTGACGGACTGTCGCTTCCCTTGACCACAAAAATCTAGAATGTTATATTGTCCTCCGGCGATTGCTGCAAACCACAACATTGCCACTAGAGCACGTTTTCCCTATCGTTCGAGTTTTGGTCTTGGGCCCCTTTTCTGGACGAAGCTAGAAAATACAGTGTTCGGAGTTGGCCGAACGGGATCCTTGCGAGGATTTCCTGGTAGTCAAGCTGCTTACAGAACATATGCGGTTGGCAAACTCATCTAGGTTAGATGAGCCGATTTATGGGTTGTGTAGGTAGAGTTCCCTGTGGAATCAGGGAGGCCTATCTGCAACTACATTCTTCTTAGAGTTGTGGTCAACTGAGATGGCCAATTGCGATGACAGGCTACACCTCCTATCTCCCTCCCTCTTGTAGGTTCTTATTCTGCTTGATTCACATTTAGGATTTTCTGGTTCGGAGTTAGGAGAAAAGAAAGGAAGAAATATCCAAGAGCAATTAACCCATTGCCTCCCTTCATTTTTTATCGGTTCGCATCATGTATCTTACTATGGTATTAGCACAACTGGGTGGCTATCATGGTTAACTAACTATGTGCTATTCAAGTACTGGTTGGCCTGGTTTCTTCAGAACCTTCATAAGAAAGCATTACTTTTCTCTTATTTCTACTTATCTCAACTAACTTACAAGTTACACAAGCAGAGTTGAACTAATGTAATCCACAAGTGAGTCAGCCACTTCTCATCATCTCACTGTGCTATTAAACATAACAATTAAAATATCAACAATGTGAAGTCATTAAACTTCTTTTTAAAAAGGAAGACTTTTTTTAACTATTCAAACATTTAATAATAATCAAATTTCAAATGTATGAGCTGCAATAAAGCTTTATAATGTTTCACATTTTACTCTAGCTGATCACATATATAATCATATAACACATATTGATACTTCATTAAAGAATTGAAAACTCAGTTTTACAGAGAAAGAATCTTTTATTTAATGAATTTTATTCATAACTGCAGGAGAGAAATCATTTTAAATTATGATTGTATGAAATATAATCAATTTACTTCTTTCTGAATGAGAAATCAAATTTGAATTCAAACCTTCATTAACAATTGATGTCAATTGAATATAAAACTTTGTTAATCATCATAATGAATTAAAATTCAGATCCTTTCAAAAATATAATCATCAGCAAACTTTATATGAAGATTCTGAGATAATTCATAGATGATTCAATCTCATACAAAACATTATTGCAAAATATGAGATTGCATATAAAGATATATACAACTTTAATGAGACTGAGTTTCAAATGAGTGTTATTAAAACAGTCAGAGTAATAACTGAATCAGAGAAAGTTAATAATCTCAAGTTTATACAATCTGAAAATTGAGAATGAGTTATTATTATTGCAGAAATAAATGCAATTGATTGAGTTTTATATACAATAATTATTCTGAAAAAAAAGATGCATCAATTTTGTTGATATGAAATTAAAAAGCTGCCACATGATTGAATGATTGAAGTCAGTGAGAATGAATGAACAAATGATAAATTGAGTTAATCTGATTTAAAAAAATATTTGATAAGAACATTTAATCTCATATAAAAAATAAATATCAACTTTTGATTTTTAATAAATATGAAAGTCATACTTCAGCTGAATTTGATCAATTTTACTCTGAGAATAATATTATTATTTTTTATATATCATCTTATTCATCTCATTTTCTTCAATTCTTGAATGTTAATTGTTTCTCTTCTTTAAAAAAGATGTACAAACAACAGATGGAAGAGCAAATGCAGTTTGATATTAATTACATTGATAAAAAAAAGTTTTTAACTTTATATTCAACAGCTCATATAAAAGCTCTGAATGAGAACAACATCAAAAATGGTTTCAAAGTTACAGAGTTAATTTTATACAATTTAGAGCAAGTTCTTTCACATTTTAATATTTAAATGTATACATTCAACTCTTTAGAAACTTCTCATAATTCTCAAATCTTCTGAGTCACAGTCACACCACATAATGTATGATAAGTGAATTTTCAAATCAAGAAAATTAAAGAATATATGCAATATTATATACAGAGTTTATTTAGTCCAATCAATTGAGCTATGAATCAGTTGATTAAGAAATGTCAAATGGTTATTGTCACACCCTTGGTTGTGCCAAGGCCCCGTGACGGCTCCACACGGCCCATCGTTTCCCCTCGGATAATCCCATCTATCCCATGACGTCACGCAGGTGTCCGAACCGGTTTCCAACCACCCTATGCCATCATTCGGATGCAATAGAAGAGGATCCGATTGATGAGATATGAGAATCCTGTTTCTATACGGGGTCTGGATTCCTTCTGGCAGATCAATGCAGCGCCACTGCGGAGTTGCTTCGGCTACCCTCGCTTATAGAGTGAGGGGAGGATGGCTGCCCGTTGTCTATATAGAATAGCTAGATGCTGGCTCTCTATTCCAGGAGCCAGCGATTCGTCTTTTATCTTTTGACAATAAGATACCAGAGTTACCACTGTCCTCATACAATATTCTTAGTGTGCCGAGTACCTCTGGTAGTTCAGTATTTGTATAGTATTCTACGAGTTCGCGGTTCAAGCGAGATAATCAAGCCCACCCATAAGGCTTCCCATTATATACCATCCTCCTCTGTGCCGCTGCCGAGTAGCAACCGCCTCGGCGCCGTCACATTACAGTTATGTATAATGCTATTATTTTAACAAAAAAAAATAAAGAACTAAGAGCTGTAAATGAGAAGTAAAAAAGAAAGTAAAAAAAAATCATATATATATAATTCAGAAAGATGTTTTAAAAGTTAAAGAAGAAATAAATTATATATAAAATATTAATAAAAAGAAAAAAAAGAGAATAGAGATTTCTAACTCTCAATCACAAAAACATGCAGCATTTTGATGTAATAAATGTGGTATTATTGAACATACTGCTTGTACATGTGAAAGCAGATTTGTAAATAATTCTTAATATAATTAATCTATTTTTCTTACATGTTTGTTGTTATATTTGATTATAAAGATATGAAATGATGAAAAGTGGCCGACTTATTAGTGTGGCTGACTCACTTGTGGATTACATTAGTTAGTTCAACTCTGCTTGCATAACTTGTAAGTTAGTTGAGATAAGTAGGAACAAGAGAAAAGTAATGCTTTCTTGTGAAGGTTCTGAAGAAACCAGGCCAACCAGTACTTGAATAGCACTGTGGACATGAAGATCAAGCCGGCAGATCAATTTTAACACCGTGAGCCCATTAGAACCTGTTGGAGAAAAACTTCGGACCCGACAATTCGGACCCAGTAATTTTTGCAACGTTTCTGCGGGCTCCATTAGCTCATCGCACGTATATGCAGTAGGCCTCTGCCAACCACTCACATGTCCAACGGTTTCAATATTTGACCTAAAACCGAGCTAGCTACTAGGTTTTCCGCCAGTCATTGGGACAAGAGTTAAAATATTATTAGCTTTCCTTCGCTGGTGTCGTGAGCAACCGTTAGGGGTGTTTTGGCAACAAGAACGGCGTTTGATCGGATTTTCCCCACAGAGCAGGATCAAGCGGCGTCCCGTCGGCGCATATCCTCGTTTTCGCCTCTCTCATCAAAAACATACGCGGGGTGGAACAAGCGCTTTCGTAGCATGGATATAAGCCAGACCCTTTCTCGGGGCTTCTGAGCTCGCTCAACATCATCCTCTGGGACCGATGCGAGTGTTCATCTCCTCGGCATTACGGCGTAGATGCAGTAGCTGAGTTCGATACGGAGTAGTTCGAGGGCCGTTCCAAGCTTCTATGGTCCTTTTTCAGCTAAACGCTTGTTATCATTAGACTTGAAAGAGGCTGTATGCTAATTCTCTTGGCTATTGCCATGCATCTCAAATCAGACTGACGGCCCAGCGATGGGCGAAACTGACCTTTTCTGCAAGACTGCAACCTTGGAAGTGTGCTGTGCCGACTTCGACTTTGAACCTCTCATGATTCTCATCGTTGTCGCTGGCTTCAGTTCTTACCAAACAGCGTTAGTCAGTGGCACCCCGCCAGTATGAAGTTCGCGATGGTCTCAAACTCCTTCGGCAGATCAAGATACCCCTAATGGTGCCACATCAAATTCCGCCCGCGATATTCTTGTCCTCGTGCTCTTTACCATAGCACTTTGGCGCAAGATCTTCTTGCGGATTGTTATAAACTTTTGATAGCGACTATATAGTATATGCAGTTGCATGTGGTTCAACGTAACGGAGGAGCCCATTTTTGATTGTTTTGTTATGCATTTAATTCGGTTTAGTAGAAAGTTAATTATGGATTGCAGAAAGAAAGGTGCTAATTAAAAGTGCGCTAATCTCGCACGAAACATCTTCAACAAATGCAAAGTTAGCTGTAGCTCCTACCAGCCGCTTAAGCGTCAGCAGTCAGAGTCGCATTTTGATACGGGAGAAAACACGAAGCCTTGGGACCCGTTGCCCCACTTCGGCCCACGCCTTGAATTAAATAAGTCCTTGATCCCCTCATCTCCATGGTGCTCCAGCCAATTCTTGAACCCGTCCACACTGAGGGATTCCCTGCACATCAATACGCAACTCTAAATAGCACCTTTAGTATTTTCATATTTTTTCTGCCATTCTTCATTCACATTCCGATAATCCTCGGGGCCGTATGGATCCCAAATCTCAGTCATGAACCCTCTCTTCCGGTGGGGTTCCAGCCCCATATCGTGTAGCAGCATGTCGAGGTACGGAACGGCGTCAAAGATAAAGCTAGGAGCTCTGCTGCCCCAGTCTGTAGGGTACCGCCATTTGCCAAATCGGTTGTGCAACACAGCCTCATAACACAGTGCCTGCATAGCTTTTTCGTCAGCGATCGCCGCTGCGGGATCATTCGCCAGGAGCCCAGAGAAGTAGGCGCTGACCCAAAGACCCTGCAAATGGGCAGTGAGGATGTTGCTGAAGTTGCTGACCATGCCAACGAATGCCACGTCGCGAGCCTTGAGGAAACGCTCGGATGGGGGTACGATGAAGCGATGTAGCATATAGGGCGTCAGTGGTGTCCAGGGCGTTATATCATCCGTTGTGTTGATGCCCGTTTGAGATGTCAGTGGGACGTAATCCTTGTTCCAGACTGGTTGGTCCTTAAGCCGCGGGTAGCGTTCGAAGATCTCTCTGTCGGCACGTTCAATAAGATCTTGTTGGTTGGCGAGGTCTTCTGCTGGGGCATCCTTTGAGCGAGCATGCGGGAGTCCCAGCTCCTTATCGATTCCCTCAGGAAGGAACTTCATGGGTGGCACATGTTTCCAGCCGGTAACGGCGAGGAAGGCGTCTGAGTCCAACTCTGTACCATCGGCCAGGTGCACCTTACCAGGGCTGAGGTGGGTTACTTCACCAATGTGGATCGAGATTTTGTCACCCTTTTTGATCAAGTCGAAAATGTCAGTGTCATAGTTGAAGATGCTGAAACTAGTTCCTGTGAACATTGGATGAGTCCATGGCTTTAGTTTGGCTGTTTCCGGGTGTTTGTCGAATCTACCGAGTGTTATGACATCTCCGCCAATGATGCTCCAAAAAATGTTGACGATAGCTCTGCCGATAGCAGTGCCGTGGAGGAAATTGCGGATGGCGCTGTAACCACCAGCTTCGCTAAAAACGCAGGGACTAAACCAGGTCAGGAAGCGGATATCTATGCAAAGTGATTAGCACAATGCTGTAGAAACGGCCTGGGTTGATGTGCGCTGTTGCCAGGCGTACTTGCGAGCTTTTCTATCCATTTCTTCAGTGGTGTTACAAATGGCGGCGACATCCAACATGGGCCTCGTCCCGTTGCTAATATTCTCATGTCAGACCCCGATATAACATATCAATATATTGCCGTGGATAGTTGGCACATACACCGGATTACCCAATTGACTTTTACTCCGGCCATGGCGTAAGCATAGGCAGCGTCCCAAGCTGACTTGGTGGCCCCAAAAATTGTAACAGACTTCGCGGTTGTCAATGTTCCTCTGTTGAGCATGAAATGTTTATTATGAAAAATGGGCCCGCCGAACGTCTCTTGGCCTTGAAAATGGGGCAAAAAGGCCTCAGAAGTCATCCCTGTCGCGACAATGAGTCGGCGAGTGAAGACCTTTGACTCCTCCTGATTCGAGTTTGTAACCGTCAATATCCAGCCTCCCGCGAGTGTGTCCTGGTGTTCTGCCGCGATGACTTTCGTCTGTAGCCGAATTAGGTTGGTAATACTAAATTTGGCTGCGTATGCCTTGAGATACGCATTGATGACTGGGCCGGGGATATGTTGACCTGGCTTAATACCAAACGTCGCGGCATCCATAGGAAAATCTGGATATTCGTACGTCCCGAATAGATTGTTGCTCTTTAGTAGCGGATATAGGCGCTGGTCACCCCATGTGCCCCCCAGTGAGGATTCGGACTCGAAGATAGCTAGAGAATCATCTGGCCGTGTGCAATTATACTGTTTTGCAGCTCCCAAGCCATACCACCCTGCATAAAACATGGTTCAGTGTGGTCTTTAACCATATATTTCTTTTCTATCCTCAAACGGAAAAAAAAAAAAAAAAATGGGGGTTTGTGTTGCGGCTGGGATCAGAAGAAAGATTCTTACCGGCACCTATAACAGCACAATCCAGCCTTTCCATTTTTGTGCCGGTGTTGGACCGCGACAGAGCCGTTCTGATACACTGTGTGATATCTGCGTTCTGTGAAAAGTTATTGTATCCCAGGATTTGCGAGCAGAAACCCTGCCGGGAATGAAGAATGTGAGGAATTGGAAATTCGGACGGCGTGACAGGTAATGTATGTTTGTGTGACTGGATCCGACCTGAGCCCCCGGTATGCAGCTACTCATCAACCTTGTTGTATCCAAAGAGGCGGGCTACCTCCTATTAGCCAGCGGGGATGGAGGATTGTTCTAACTCTTAGCCAGGTGGATTCCAATGCTAATGTTCGGAAACTTGTGCCCAAAGAAGTTCAGCGTCCAAGTCACAAAGGATGGCAACATTGTCGGGGAAAGCGGGGCAATGTGCTACGACTACCAGGGATTGCGAAATTGTGGGCGAGCTTCTCTCTGGGTTTAACCATCGTAGGTATTAATGATGTCAAAAGAGCCAAAAATCTCCGTCCTCAAGGTCTAGGATTTTGACCAAGCGGAAGTAACTCTTTCTGACTATTACCAAGGCATCCTCAGGCGTTGTTTGTCACAATATTCTTCTTCCAGGGACATTCAACCCTGTATCCTTGGTGAAGTCAAATCTCATCCAGCCTAGGTGGTGGAAATCGCGACGGAAATTGTCGTCGGCAGAGCGAAGGGATCACTTAGTCCAATTAGTGATACTCACGACGATGCAACGGGAACGGTGAGTTTTCCCGCCCTTCCGCTCCCTGTCCAGGCACAGCGAGACCGTAGTGGGTCAACCGAAATAACGTTCATTCGGGACATGGCTTTGATGGGCTATTTTAGACTTGAGTCTAAATATTGTCGTATCATCAGTGTATCATGGTAACTTACGCAAGAGTCAACTCGTTCTTGTTGGTTGATGAGCGGCGGAACAGTCCCAATTTAAGATAGGGTATTTTTGTTTCTCTTTGAATGCTTCCTTTGCACTATATCTGTTGGGTTTGTATGTACCGTACTGTGTACGACACTGCCGATTCCATGGCGGATATAATCTAATCCTCGGGCCAATATCCGAGGCAAAACTCTTCTCCCTTTTCCTTCCCTCTCCTGCCGCATTTGGTTTGAGTACCCTAACATGAAGAGGTCAGCAAAAATACGGAGTAGTTTCGGCAGAGACATACGAACAACCCAGTCAAGATGCTTGGTTTATTGTTCGAGTGGACCTGTCACAAGAGACCGAAAACCGACGCTTGCTGAGTTTCATGTCAATCATCGCCGTAAATGTTCCACCTTCTGGTGGGTGAAATTTGAGGATCTTTTGGCATGTTTTCTGATGGGCGGTTCCCTTGCGAACAGGGGCAACAAGCAGTGCATATCAATCTTTACGGGAAATATAACAGGAGCACTCCCTCAAGTTGCTAGACGCTTGTCAATACTCTACCCTCATGCTCGCATACAAGTGAAAAACCCTCTTCTTTCAGCAGCTTCAAAACGCTATGTCTCTACCTCCTCCATCCGATCCCGCTGCTGCTGCTGCTGCCGCTGCGGCGCAAGCGGCTTTCCGTAGTTTTTCCACCGAAGCATGGACCCTCCTCGCGGTTGCGATTCTGGTGACCAGTATCAGGATGTACGCTCGGATTGACGGCGTCGGATTCAGAGGCCTTCAACCGGACGATTACCTAGTGGTGGTTGGGGTGGTGTGTTTTCGCTCTTCCATATCTCGTGATTTGAATATTCGTTCTTCCTTTGCTCCAATAAATAGCTAATATCTGAAAACAGACATTCTACACCATTGAAACAGCTCTCGCATACTCTGTCGGAAATGTAGCCAAAGGTTTGGCCAACAATGGCATGACCGACGAACAGCGGGCAGCTCTATCGCCTGACAATCCAGAGTACCGACTAAGGTAAGGGGACTAAGTAAATCACCAGCGAATGACGCGAATGGGACTCAAATTTTGTGTGTGTAGGATTATAGGCTCAAAAATCCAGATCTGCGGCTGGACGACCTATGGGATATTGTTATGGTCGCTGAAAGCGTCGCTACTGGTGCTATACATGAGACTGACTGTACAAACCCCTCGTCGGCACATTCTCCAGCTCTTGTTACTGACTGGCAAATATAGTTCGGCTTAAAGCGAAAATATCGGATCCAATTATACATTGGCTTTGGTTTCATCGTCGTCAGCTGGGTCGCCGTGGTTCTGAACCTTTTCCTCGCATGCCGTCCTTTCAACAAATACTGGCAGATATATCCAGATCCCGGAAGTATGGATTTTCTTCAGGCAGTAGAGAAACACCCATGCCGCTAACTTCTCAATTTGCGCTCTTTAGATGTTTGCCAGCCAGCTGTTTCCAACCAGATAATTTGGGTTTATCTCGGGTTCAATATCACCACGGATATGTACCTGCTGAGCATACCGATTCCTATGCTGTGGCAATCAAGTATCAAGCCCATGAAGAAAGTAGGATTGACAGTCCTATTTAGCGGAGGATTGCTCGTCATGGCTTGTGCCGTCGTGCGGGTTGTAATGATCGTGGTGGTGAGTCGATAACTTCGCCGTCTAAAATAATTTCGGAAATCCAATGTTCTGATATATGTACCGTAGGATCCAGTCAATGGTGCACAGTCGGCAGGGTCATGGGCCGTCCGCGAAACTTTCATTGCGGTAATTACCACGAATATGCCAATGGTCTTCCCGCTGATGAGGTCCTGGTATTCTACCGTCTTTGGTTCCCTAATTACTTCACTCCGATCGAACAAGACGACTGGTAACGAAGGATCAAAAGACCTGCGCACATTTGGTAGTAGTAGAAGAGGCCGCGGCCCTCCTACTGCAAACCCTATCCCGAATGCAACGTTCACCGAGAGCGAAGAGAGAATTATGGAGTACAAAATGCAGGATATGACCAGCAATCAAAGTAGAGGCAGCGGGAGAGAGGCGAATTCAATACAGCAGGCTAATGGCACTGACAAAATGATTCAGAAAACTGTTGACTTCACCATTTTAACTGAGAATGGATCTACAGAGGGCCGACGTACGTCTCTTGGCAAGGATGATAATGAAGGGAGGCATACCGGGTTCGACTTTTCCGGAGAATCTGCGACAAGACATTTCCATACTGGCATTCATGACAACCATGCCAACATGCGGCGCTCTTAATGACGATCTATCTGTTAGAATTAGAAAAGTTATCGGAAGCGGGATAACGGCGTTGGAATTGACTTTTATGCTTGGTTTGTTTATTGGTTTGGTTGGTGGTTGTGTCTATGTATGTCCTGGCGATACTATATTGAGAAACAATGAATTAGAATATATTATTGATAGCACAATTATCAGTTGGCGTGTCAGATGCTACCTTGGATTGCTCCTTGAGGTGACAACTCGTAGACCAAGGTTTAGATGGATGCCTTTCGTCCTATTTTTGTATGTGTGGTGTTGGTTGGAAAAGTTGTGATAGGGGAAAAAGCCCATTGTCCTGAAAGATGAGCACGTGGTTCTGGTGGTTGGCAATGCAAAGAAGAGAGGATAAAGAATACTTAGAGTGGATTAGGTTGACCTTGGAGCAGCGAATACCATACATCTATACCACCTCAATCCTAATGAATTAACAGATTGGTGACCTCTCAAATAGAAAGGTTTATCCTATCTTCTTTTCCGAATATTAATTTTTGTAGATAGGAGGAACGTTGCCACGTAAAATCATGAAAGGGAAATAGAGAAGTATTAATATGTGTCACAAATAGTAGCGCAATAAGAATATTTAAAAGTAAAATCATTTTAGGATTCTTCTTACTTCTTCTTTTTCCTAATCACAGATGCATTTAGAACGTTAATCGTAGGAGTCATTATCTGTGGGACACTGTTGGGTGATTGCCTATGCTGGTCATCATCCCCTTCAAGATTAGCCACAACAGAAGAAGAATCCGGCTTCTTTCCATGCGCGCTTGGAGTTCCAGTATCTCCAGCATCCTTTTTCCGTTTCCTGATCAATCCTCCTCTCAACAGTTTTGAAGCGTCTGCAGGTTGGTGCGTGAAGTTTTCAACAGGTAGGGATTCACCTATCACCCCTTCTCCGTGGTTGTTTCGACCAATCAGAGTGGAAAGTTTGGAAATCCAAGAGCCTGTGCTTTCGATAGCTGTTTTCTCGTTGTCGAAATCAAGTTCAATGAGTAGGCCCACGAGGTCGTGGTAACTTTTGTCGTCTAGTTTTATTGTACCAGTGTCACCTTCGAATGAAGCGCTAGTTGGGCATGTTGGTGGGTCTACGGTCATGACGTCATTTTGTGGTAACAACTCGTTATGGTACTCTTCCGCGGTTGAATTTCTAACTTGCCCACTTACCTTCGACTCCGAGGCCGAAGATTCTAGGGTGGCATCTTTGCTAGGCGTTGATTCGATGTCCCGCTTTGTTTGGTTATGTGCATTCTGAGAAGTTGAAGATATCATGGGAACAGAGTTCAAAAGTCCTGGAGGATTTATGACCACCCACAAGAACCCAACCAATCTGCCAGCAGAACACTCTTGTCTATACGCCATCATCTCCCAAAATTGGTCTATAGTCTTGATGCTGCGCCATTGTCCGGTGCTCGATTCATTTGTAACATCAGGGACTTCATAATCGAGATCTAGGAGGAACCGCGCTTTTGGATCATCTGGAAAACGCGGTACTTGGCAACGGGGTGGCGCATTTTGCGATCCACATATTTGGTGCAGAGGATACGAATTGAGCCAGCGTGGTCGGGTCTGGGGATCCGATTTTGCGGATGGAGGGAAAAAGGTCTTAGACTCGAACTTGTCGCAGCCCGGGACAATGAGGTACGCCGTTGCTGAGGTGGTCTGCGCTTCAGTATCGCGATTTTGCTCCTCTGCTGGGTGGCCATTCGTATCCACCTTTGCCTCAGGCTCGTGGCGTCTTAGGATGGGGTCTACCACGCGGCACCACCATTTGACCAGCCCCCGATCATCCAAAATATGCTTTCGCGGATTCTCCACGCTACCCGGAAAGAGGTACTGGTTTTGTGCGCGTGCGAAGAGAGAAAGAACAAGTCTAATGCCAGGCCTCTGATGTGACGAGACAATATGCGATAGGAACGAGGTTGAAATACTGCGCATCAACGATTTCGCGGTGGGTGGAAGCTTCAACCGGTATAGATATCCAGTCGAATCAGCCTTGGAAACAAAAACGGTTGTGAGGTTTGCAGTGGTGAAAACCAATATCTCGATTGCGAAGATGAATAGTTCGACTCGATTATTGTCCCTGGTCTCATCTCCAGGCACCTCTGGCTGAATTGACACGGTAATGAAATGGTTTTCACAAGTCGTGGGCTCCTCACTTTGTCCAGGTAGCGGAGAGAAAAGTGCGGGACAAGGCGTCGGGTCAGTGGCCAGATGGCGGATAATGAGCTCTACATCTTTTGGAATCGCCTGAGCGAGAGCTGCTCGCAGACTAGGGGAAGCCATTCAATCGATACATTAATTAACGCACGTGCCAAGACACCTCAGAAGAGCCCAGCACAGCCGAAGCTCCTGTAGGCTAAATAATTAAAATTTGCAATAGCAGATACACCATGCGAGATGGCGGAGATCCTTGCTTTGACAAATATTTAGACATTATTACATAACCGGGCCCTAGATGATTTGTAAGCTGCCGCTCACCTGCAACCTCTGGTCGGCCCCTCGTTCCGAGGGTCCGCCATCTCAACGTTATCCGCCATCTCAACGCGATTATTTTCAAATACGCGAATCTCTTTTTTCAAAATGCAATAATCAACCAATGTGATGACTTCTACATATATTTTAATAGAGAATAAGATCACAGAGGCTCTAGATTCCATAGCCGATATTGAAAAACCCAATATCAAAGCATTGGCAAGAGATTATAACCTTCCCTATTCCCGTCTGCTCAATCGATACAATGGCCGTGCTCCGCGAACTCATCGACCTCCTGCTAATCGACTTTTATCTTTTGAGCAGGAAAAATCACTTTGTCAGTATATAGAAGCTCTAGATAAGCTATGCCTACCTCCCAATCGATCGATGATCTTTGGTGCTGCTCGATTCCTACTTGCGCAGAGCCATACAGATTCTACCACACCTGCACCTGGGCTTGGAGAGCACTGGGTCAAAAGATTTCTCAAACGCCATCCAGAGTATAATGTACGCAAGCAGAAGACCATTGATATATTACGGAAACAGGCTCATCAACCATCTCATATCCTTGATTGGTTTAACCGGTTCAAAGAAACAGTCAATAAATATGGAATTCAAGATTGCGATATCTACAACTTCGATGAAACAGGGTTCAGAATAGGAATTGGACATGATCAATGGATTGTAACGCGAGATCCTCGAAGACGGGCCTATGTTGGAAGTTCAAATAATAGAGAAAGTCTTACTATCATTGAAGGAGTTGCAACTGATGGCTTTACCATTCCTCCCTTATATATTCTCACCGGGAAGCAGCTACAGGAGCGGTGGACAGATGAAATAGAGAAGGATGCCATGATAGCTACATCCGACACTGGGTATAATAATGATCAAATCTCTTTTCAGTGGATTCAGCATTTCCATCGGTCTACAAAAGCTCGCAACAAAGGAACCCACCGTCTGCTTCTATTAGATGGATTTGACTCCCATTGCACCTTTGAATTCATGGATTTTTGTGAAAAGAACAACATCATTCCCTTCTATCTCATCCCGCATACGAGTCACCTATTACAACCTCTGGATGTTGGTGTTTTTCAAGCCTTTAAGCATCATCATTCAGTGGCAGTGGAAAGAAGCAACAAGACGCGGCTGTGAGAAGTTCACAAAGGTTGAATTTCTTCATGCTATCACCTCCATACGAAAAGCAACATTCAGAGTTCATACAATCAAACATGGATGGGAAGCAACTGGCCTACTTCCATTCAATCCTTCAATTGTCCTTAATAAATTGCGTGAATTCGAGACTACTCCTTCAGAATCTTCAAATTCAGATTCCATGGATTCAGATACTTGGTATACTCCTTCAACTGTACGCCAATTCAACCGATATAAACGCAAACTCGAGGCTTTGGAAGAGGAAGATGAAGATAACTATGATGAGGACTATATATATGAAGGATTACAGAAGCTTTATAAGGGTAGTATTGCAATGGCCAATACAGTGGCTCTTTTGCAGGAGGAGCTCTCGCAGACAACTGCCGCCTCGGCTGCTCGCAAACGCCGTCTGAACGGCTCACGGAGGGTAGTTCATAAAGGAGGAGTCATCTCTGCAGATAATATTCGCAAAATGACAGCTATTCATCATCAGATTGGTATTGAGGAGGCATTGGAGAAGTTACGGCCAAAATGGAAGAAGGTTATGAAGGAACTTAAGAGATATTGCAGAGACAAAGGCATTTATGTTAATGCCACCAAATTTACAAGGAATTCACGGCAATAGTTCATTTACAATATAATCTATTTGTATCTATCAAATATAGATTCATTGGTTGATAAATCAACTGAATATCATGGGTATAAGTGGGCAGTAACGTTGAGATGGCGGATAACGTTGAGATGGCGGACCCTCGGAACGAGGGGCCGACCAGAGGTTGCAGGTGAGCGGCAGCTTACAAATCATCTAGGGCCCGGTTAATCGATAGAGGCACATATGTGCCGTACGCTAGTCCGTAATAGGTAGCGGCGCGCAGTCAACTTACGCTGGTACACAATCAATTCTCTATCACTCACTCACCAACTTGATGTGCCTCCATACTTTACGAAAATCCTTTTTTTTTCTCACAATTCTACCCCATAATTGTATATTCTCTAACATTCTTCCAATTAATGCTCCACAGTAGTGTGATCCTTGATATGTGCATGATATTCTCAACAAGCTACGGAATGGGTTCATTTTGGAGAAGGATGATGAGGAATATCGTGCAGCCAGAAAGGAATTGAAGGAAAAGTGAGATGCAATCCTCTAATCTAGTTTTCATTGCGATCTAGTGTCAATTTGAGATTCTCTCATTCCCTCCCGGAGCTGCGTGATAATCACTCCATGAAGGCCCCCTGGGCATAGTTGAGTAGCCACCACATGCCATAGCTTTCTAGTGAAATACACTTGGGTAGGAACAAGTACCAGTCATCGTCCGAAGAAGGACTGAGACCGTTTGTGCTCTTGATCAACTCGTGATACTCAGGATAGAACCCACTATATTCCCAATCTAGAAGGCCAGTAATTCGGAATTGGTGGTCACCACTTGGTTCCACAGTGATATTATCTGGTCGTAGATCACCATGTGTAAAGACACATCTAATTTCTAATTGCTCGGGCGGGACACATTGTTGAAGCCGGCTGATAAATTCTGCGAAAATAGAAGCGCCCAAAGAGGGGAACAGAAAATCCTTGAAATCTTTGACAGTCAGAATAGGTTCAGTACTGCGACGGAGATGTCTCCTAACATCTTTACAGCCTTCACCACAAACTCCTCCAAGAGGCGTCCCAGTAGGGTGTGAAAGAGACCTTAGGTCAGCCAGGTTTTGGTTGAGCTGATCTTGGATGGACTTTTTCTGTGATATATCCAGCCCGGCCCATATGTCTGCCAGTGTTGCCGTGGACGTGTAAGTCATAAAAATTAAAGAGACATCGTTCATTCGCAGTAATCCAGATGGCCTGGGGGCAGGCACAGTCGGCTTGTGCACTTCCAGGTACTGTAGTGTAGTGTATTCAGTGTAGTCCAGCGCGTTCTTTATTGCTTTGATGACAATATTTCCATCGCATTTGAAAACCATTTTCTTTCGAGGAAATGGGCTTTTCCAAAGAATTTCGCAGCGCCGCATAAGCCCTACAAGCGCCTCGGACATTTCTGCATCCGCCAGCAGACTTCGGACTGAGTCAGCCAAGGGAGATACAATGGCAGTGGGTTCGGAAGGCATTAGAAATACGCGGATATCTTCTTCAGTGACTGAACCTGACGTTGTTGCAGCAGTAATAGATGTTACTGGCAGAGAAGTTAGAAAAGACAGGCCGTAATGATGGAGGGAATCTTAACGTGTTGGAGAGGGTAACGGAATCCGCATTTCAGAAAGACGCTTAGAGTAATCCTTTGGGAAGTCTGATGTCAGGACAATTTCCGGGTCCGCTGCCACCGCTTTTTGCAGCCGCTTTAATGTGTGGATGTTGAATCGTGCTGCTTTTGACTGTTTTGAGCCTGCATCACCGGGCTCCTCGAGTCTCTTTCTTTTTGACATTGTTGGGCCAGGGACTAGGGTGGGGCACCTTGACCACCAAGAAGATGGATATCCCTGAAGGGCAGAGCTTCAGTTGCGTAAGAGAGGTTGAACATGGTTGGTTGTTTGTTCGAGTAGCTAGCGGTAGCTAATATATGTTGGTGGTGATCGAGCCTAAGAAGGCCGAGGCATGGATGTGTAGTGCGCTAGTCTGTAATAGGTAGCCTAGAGTGATTGCGTTGTTGGGAGCTATGTATGGCATAGGGCTATGCACAACCACCAGAGCTTAACCATCCCACAGATTCCGCTATATATCAATACCAACTTCACAACTTCACTTTTCTTCTTGCTCACATCGTCCTTGGGAACGACATGATTCTTCGTTATGACCGCGCAACTGTGCCTAAACATTTTTACTCGTATTTGTGTCCATAGAGACTCTCCGTAGATTGTCCTCCAACCTCGCACCTACCTCGTCTGATACCCACGTCAAGCCGTGTCCTCAAAAACCCTGAAAAGTCTACCGGTATGTTTACGGTATCACCAGAGATAATACTTATAGCTATTCATCTCCCAAGCCAGTGGATTCAGGTCTTTTTCCCCATACAAATCATGGCTAACATGCAAATGCCCCCCCCAGGCGCCCATCATCTTCCTCGAGACAGATGTCCTCTGAGAAATCCATAACTTCAAATGGGGAGTTTTCTGAAGCCATTAAACTTCAGACGCGAGCTGCTTGTGGAGACAGCTGCTGGGTTTGCGAATCAGTACCAACTGATATCTGCCATGTTTTTGATAGGAAGGACAGATACCTCGTATGGATTTTCCATGTGTCCTCCTGAGGATCTTGTAGTTGACTTCCATATGTTTTAGGAGCCGTATATGCGTGAGCATGGATTGTTGAATTTCTCTTTGGTCTCCTCTAGCAATGCCATTCCACTGTGCGCCCTTTGCCATCAGAACTTCGACTTTACGAGCGACCCTGGGTTCACGTTCATACCTTCCGATCTCTCGTTCTTCATTGAGTTCGAAATCGCCGACTACAACAGACGACTGAGAGATGCTGTGGCCGGTCTACGGACCCCCCGGACGTGCCCAACTGCGGAAATGTATCGGATCCACCAGCAAAGCCTCTTACCCACAGATGCCATAGGCGGCCTATATCGCTGCATAATGTTGAGAGCATATCAGCCACATTTGCCAAGCACGGTAACTGACCCTCTGCGGTCATGGCATGGGGCGCCGATGGCGGCGCTGAGACGCGGCATTCTAGCATTGGGAACAATGCGGATACACCGCTTTCCTGGAGATACTGTAGCTCAGCTCCAAAAGCTACAGTATTTATACTCGCGTGCAAACCCAGAGCCAAGCCAAGACTATAGTGACAGCCCTTCCAGAACAGCCCTAAAACACCAGTCTGACCCTGCTGACTCCCTCACGCTCCCCCCGAAGTTTCCTGGTCTTGGAGCAAGCGTCCCGGAGCCGCCATCGAATATTGATGAGTCGAGTTGGGTCCTCGGACCCCAGAGTTCAGCACAAGATGCCGTTCAGAGGTTTCACTCTGTGTTAATCAATTCCCCCTCGTATTATCTTTAGTTATCTTTGCCGTTTGGGTTTGCTGTCGAGGTACCTTGATGCAGTCCCTTAATTTAATTGTTTAGTTTACCATTAGTTTATCCGGAATAAAAGAAACACATGTATGTTTTAGGTTTTAAAACAACGGTATTATTTTCTTTTTAGCAAACTTGCCTATGTTATCCAAAAACAAAGGAGAGAAGTTCAAATGAGCCGCCAACTCTCTTGCGCTTCTGTTTCTGAGAATGTGTTGCAGCTGCAGTATAAGGGGCTGCCCGCTGCAGTGTAGACTTTTTCAAGCAAATCCACAAAAACCTTTGTCATTCATTGAATAATCATTGATGAGAGATCTCAGAAACAAACCAGCCTGAGTTACACTTTAGACTTCATTCAAACTGTTTGTATTCTACTTGGTGTTTTTGATTATTTGATCTCTGTTATAACTTAACATCTTTGCTCCCCCCGCCCCCTTCTGGTCTCTACGCGCCACATAACTATAAAAGACGCGGGTTCTCGAAGCATGCCTGAAGCTCCTAGTCATCACTCTCAAAGTCCCAAGAACACTATCATATCTTGCGAGTTTCCCAAATCCAAGCCTCCGTGAATATGCGAATTATCTCATTGGGCCGGATCCAAGCATAGATTTGAAGCGAACTACAACAACAGCTTCAACATGCAGCAAGCAGATCGGAAAGCATAAAAATCCAGTACGGGTACATTTCTGAGGCAACAACAACCTCCAACATAAGATCTAGAATCTTAATATTCTATTGAAAAAATCATGGCAGGATTGATCATCAGAGCCGGATTTTGCTACCTGCGCCGTCCGGGTCCGGTGAAATCCGAGTTCAACATGTCAATTTGACACAAAAGTCTAAAAATAATGAGGACACATGAGCAAGGCGGAAAGAAACAAGGTGCTTTTGTTTCATCCCGTGCACACATTGACAGTAGAAGTAAGAGTTTCCGAAGGGCTTTTTTTTTTTCTTTTTGATTATTCTCGTGGCGTATCACTTGAGTTGCTCAGGCCCAAGGCCAACCATAGCCGCAAGCAAAGATTTCGATTTTTGGAACTTTCGGCGAAACGGCATGAGAATGTGATCCAGAAGGAGTCGAAGTCCGCAGATACTGATGTTTCTCGGCATATTGCTGTGTAGCAGATAACAAGTTTTGGAGCGCTCGCTATGCTCGCTATCAAACGCGTAAAATACCTCGAAGCTCTTGGCGTGCTTACTAATGGCGGAGCGCAGCGGTCAAAACCCATAACTAACTATTTGAAGTAACTACAACTTCACCTAATCGGTTATTATGAGCATTTACTTCTTTGGACACCAAAACGACCTCGCTATCAGCAACAAAGCGAACTCGGAAGAAAGACTGCACGCATCTAGCCCGGTCAGCGGTAAAATATGGAGTGATAAATCCTTTTTCACGCTTTGCTCATTGTCAAGTTATTGATGCGCCGCATACCTGTTTGAGGGATGTGTCAAGAGAAGGGGGGCTGCTTGGTTTCGCAAGTAGACTGGATTGTGGATACTGGATCCTGGACCAGGCAAGACTGCACAAGGATGCCAACATTCTGTCATTGGAAAGTGGAATGCAGTATAAATATACTATTCTTGGCCATCCAGATCGAACAAAATTTCCATGCATTCCGATTCCATTGACAAAGGTGCCGAGGGCCCGTATCTGATGATCCATGATATAACTAACAGGAGCTGTTTGCATTTTGTTTTTTTGCAGTAACAATTGAGCTCCCAATATGCCCTGCGCGTGAGGCTTTGTCTATTTGCTGAAAGGGGAACTTATTCCGGCCTCCCATCCTTGATGCCTGTCATCTAAGATTCCGTGGTTTTGGCCAATCTGTCCCGACCTATATTGCCATGGAGTGGGCCATGCCAGGGTCCATTTTCCCTTTGGAAATATTGTTTGTTCTGCCGTAGCTTCGCTGGCGCTTGTAGAAGGTGGTACGTGCACATGGTACTGTCCTCCTCTACTGGTGCCCGTACTACTTCGATGCAGTTGCAGCAGCTGGGAGTTGCCATGCTTTTCTTGTTGTGCACAGCATATATTTTGCAGGTAATTGATTCTCACGCCCTCCTAAAATGGCTGGACATACTCAAAAGAGGGTAGCTTACAATTTTTCAATAATTCCTGGAGGCACAACAATCCTTTGAGCGCTTTTTTGGGTACTAGAAGCACATTCAAATCCGCCGCTATTCCTAGAGAAGTTCCCAGGCTTGTCATTTGGAGCGCATATTCAATGTTAGATTACAGGTGAAGGGAGAATGAATGAAGCAGACACATATAAATACGCATGTTACTTATACGTACAGGTCTACCCAATTCTCCTCTTCCTCTAACACCATAATCCTAATATTTCATATCATCTTCATTTAACTTGGCTGCCCGACTCTATCGTTCTCCTGCTCATAAGTCAGCCAAGTGCCATTTCAACTGCCGCCAAAATAATTTTCTCAACAACCCGCTTTGCCATTGCCAATCCCATACAATCTGTAATGTCATATACACCGATTCGACGTGTTGTCACGGGCCACAGTCCATCCGGTAAAGCCATGATCGATTCAGACACCCAGCTGACACCGTATGACCCCTTATCTGCCGACTGCTCTCGCGCCACATCAGACAAGCTCGCATTCACCACAATATGGCGCACCGAGTCCTTCCCTGCCAAAGTAGATGGGCCCTGGACGGACTTCAACTGCTCCCAAATCCCTCTCGCTGACTCCGTCGGCACTATTATCCGCGTTGTGGATTTCCCACCCGGACCAGGATTCATGCACCGAACTGTCAGCATAGATTTCGGCATCGTGCTCGCGGGCGAGATAGTGCTGGAGCTGGACAACGGAATCAAGACGACCTTGGAGAAGGGTGATGTCGTAGTCCAACGCAGTACGGTTCACGCATGGTCCAACTTGACATCTGAGCCCGCGCGTATGCTCTTCGCCATGTTACCGGCCAAACCGATCAAAGTTGGCAGCCAGACTCTCGAGGCCACCGCGATTCCGCCGCCCTCGGGGCCATCGTCTCCTGCCCGTGGCGGATCTGCTTCCCGTAACGTGTCTTCTTGAAGTGTCCGAGCGCAGATTTGTCCCCTATCTTTGTTATGTACTGCATTACGGAAGTCAATGACATGTTAGTTAACTATGTTCTTTGCTGAATCAGCCACCAGACTTGAAGTCGAATCCACCCCTATTCAACCTATGCCTTTCCAAGGGGATAACATAGTCTGCATTTGGTAGAGAAACCCTGAGCCAATAGGGAGGGACTTCCAAAGAAGTTAGATTGATAGCCATGAATAAACCATAGCCGCGAAATAATGAAATGTCCTTATTGTTCTGTCTCTTTTATATTTTTCCCCTTTGTTCCTTATCCTTACGTTTCCTTGCCTTTCTTCGGTTGATTATATAGTAGATACAGCGTGGAGTATCGCAAACAACCCCCCGCGGTAGCGCAGAGCACTGCGTCAGACATCTAGATGTACGCACTGCGCCTATTACGTATATAATTCGCTGTGCCACCATACCCCATAGGGATGTATCATTTGCCAAAAGCGTGACCCTGTGCATCCGGTTATGCCCTTGACGTGCTTCACTGCGTGTG